AGCGCGGCACAGCAAGGCTGCGACGACTTGTGATGCATCGACATGGGTTGCTAGAAAGTCATTCGCTGAAGGCGCGTACAGCATACGCGCGAAGAAACCCGTGCGATCAATTCACGCGCCCTTAGGCAGCAGCCCTCTTGAAAGTGAGCATGCCCAAATTTTTGTTGAGTTGATATTGGCATATCAAGAGTCAGAATGTTGCGATAGTCGTGCTACAGTGCCCATGGGCAGGATTGATCCCTTAGAGAAGTGCGAAGCGTGTTGGGCTGGAAGGCGCCTGCCAGGCGCAGCCCCGGGGGCGCGCGCGTCCAGGCGTCCAGGTACGGCGCTAACCTAAAACACGATGGATGCGAGGTGGGGCAACATCTCACCAGTTGACGCGTACAACCTTGCCCCATCACCAACGACGTTCGCAGCACTGACAAACTACTGCCGCGGTCGAAGAAGTCAATCAGCTGAAACGACGTGAAAGAGAACATCTTGAAGGATCTGTATCGGAATAGCAAGCTGATTACTACCTAGGTAGAGCTACCATCCTACCGTCTATTGCTGCAACAGCGGTTGACCAACGCCGAACCTGGGTACTAACTCTACACCTCATTAAGTAAATAAGCAAATTGGATATCTCGACATTGAAACATTTAGACCGATTACAACCCCCTCGATTTACCAACACCTTCGTACCGGAAACCCAGAGCTTCGAGAGGCACAGGATCGACGACGTTACGTCCATCAAAGACGTACATTGGACGGCGCATGACCTGCGAAACGCGCTTCCATGATATCTCCTTGCGCGTTGTATCCACATCACCGTTGTGTACTGAGTCGCCGCGAACATGCCCGCTTCTCGTAGGCTGCTTGTTGCTGAACTCGTCCCACTCCGTCAATATGACCACGGCGTCGGCGTCGGTACACGCTTCGTAAGTCGAGGAACAGACCGTGAGTCTGCCTTTGATGCTCTGCGGACTCGGGTTACTGCTCTCGATGTCGTGCAGTATTTGCGATTCCTTGACTTGCGGGTCGTAGATCCTGACGTTGGCACCTTCAGCAAGTAGGTTGTTGACGACTGTGATGGCTGCTGACTCGCGAGTGTCTCCTGTGTCCTTCTTGTATGCAAAGCCAAGAATAGCAAGCGTCTTGTTCGAAAGCGAATTGTACAGGCATCGCACTATGCGGCGGGTAAATCGGTCCTTCTGGTACTCGTTTATGTCGACTACTGATCGCCAGTAAGCGGCGACCTCAAACAGGTTCAGGGACTCTGCGATGTATGCAAGAGACAAGATGTCTTTGCGGAAGCAGGAGCCACCAAAGCCGACCGATGCCTTGAGCATTCGAGACCCAATGCGGTTGTCCAATCCAACGGCATAGGACACCTCATCGATGTCGGCGCCTACTGCCTCGCACATGGCACCCAGTGCATTGACACTGCTGATCCGCTGAGCGAGCAGTGCATTTGCAGCTAGCTTGGCCAGCTCGGAGCTAAACAAGTTGATCGTGATGATGCGATCTGGGCTGACCCAAGCTGAGTAGATTTGAGAAAGAGCTCGTGCAGCCGCCAACCCTTGAGGAGTCTTAAGAGAGCCGATGAGAACGCGATCAGGGTTCGAGAGATTTTGGATAGCGGTTCCCTCGGCCAAGAACTCAGGGTTTGATAGGATCTCAAACTCGACGCCAGGTCTACTCGTTGCTCTCAGAACATCTCGCAGCGTATCTGCCGCCCGGCATGGCACAGTGCTCTTTTCTACGATGATCTTGTTGCCTGTAGCAACAGCACCAATCTTTCGCACAGCAGACTCCAAATAGGAAAGCTCACTGGCATGTCCGGCACCCTGACCCAATGTCTTGGTGGGGGTATTGACGCTCAACAGGATGAGTTCGGCTTCGGCAATGCCGCGGTCGACATCTGTGGAGAAAAAGAGGTTTGGCGTTCGCTTGTTGGGGATGCCGTCGCGGGCTGGCTTGACCACATCCATGAGGCCAGGTTCGTAGATGGGGAGATCTTCAGATTGCCATGCAGCAATGCGCTTGCTGTCATAATCGACCACCGTCACCTGAATGTCGGGGTTGGCGTTCGCCATGACTGCCGAAGTCGGTCCTCCCACGTATCCTGCACCGATACAACATATCTTGGTTATGCGTCCGAACAATTTGGACTCATGGGTGGAGCGGTATGAGGGCGCTGGGGTGGGCGCATCTTGCCGTGTGTGACTAGACATGAGGAGTGTGTGAGGGTTTGCAAAAACGAGTGTATAACAGGATGCCTGGTAATTGAGCAGGACAAGGACAAAGAAGCCTTCGTGGAAGTGAGCCGGATACCTATAGGTACACAAGGGTATCGAGATGTTGGATGAAGTATCAACCAGCCATAGTCACGGACCGAGCGGCCGAAGATACTCATGGTCGCCTGGACGGCTATCGGCATCTTCTATTATCGTTTACACGATCTCATTTTGGCAATTACTGGTGCCGAGGATGGACCTGAACGTATCGGACGGCTAGGAAACGCTTGGTTGGGTGACATGATGGTGATGAGCGCTAGCGTGACGGAAGTACCGGGGACGCCACAAGGATCAATTGATGGGGTGCCTGCCAAGCCAGCCGGGGCCTTCTTAGTAACGTCGCATGTTATCTTTGTGATGTAATCCTTAGCACGAGTACTCCACCACTCGGCGAGGCTTGACATCGATTTCGCATTTTGGCCACTATGGCTATGCGCGTAGCTTTTCAGTTAGTTCTGTTGCAGGACTCCAAGCTCCGCCCCGAGTTACGCAGTTTTTCGCTCCGCCCCAGAGAACGCGCAGAGAAGCCAAGTGTCATAGGACACTAACCCATAGGGACTGTTCTTATTCTGCTAATATCGGAACCCGGCAACGCATGATTACAGCGGATGAAGCCACTGTGCCCAAACTATGGCTTAGTTGGACTTCATGGCGCAGTCAATGGTCAGCACAGTTTCAGCGGGCCAGCGCACACGTGCAGCCGCTACACATTATTCGCCCTTGCTTGAGATGCAGTGTTAACTCCGGTCCCCGACAGCCACACCTTACCCGGATCCATCGTGTGACACGGCACACACCGTTCTCAGCGGGTCCTGGGCAGACAGGCATGCGAAGGAGCTAAGGTGTCGGCCAACCGCAGCATTATCCGGTCGTGGTTGAGGATTAGACGCGAAGAGACTTTGTTGGCCCTAGCCACAGTGACGCTATAATCTCTTTCAACTAATACTTGTCGGATCAAATACCGGTTCAGCCACCTGAATTTGAACATCCCTTAGACTGTCGAAACGCCTCATCGCGAGGTAGCACGCGACTCCTTCCTCACGTCGACCGACAAAGACGACAACATCATGGAGAAATTCGAAATGGCTCAGGCCGAGCCTGTACTCAACCAAGTGGCCGAAACCGATGAGCAATATCCTGTTGAACTGGATATCAAGGAGAATGAACCGCTACTGGACCTCGAAAGCCAACAAGATGGAAAGCATGTGCTTTCTCAGCGTCCTACAGAGCCAGCTGCCAATAGGACGAAGACGTTCATATACCTGGCGACTTATTTTATAATGAACTTGAGTCTCACATTTTACAACAAAGCTGTTATGGGTTCGGTATGTAGCAGGAGCAGATACGAGGAGTCGATTTAGCTAACGAGATACCCAGTTTCCGTTCCCGTGGATTCTCACAGCGGTACATACCGGAAGTGCTGCTCTTGGAAGTTCAGTCTTCTTGATGTTCGGGCATTTCCAGCTAACGAGGCTGACGCCGCGCGAGCATCTGGTCCATTTCATGTTCTCTCTCTTGTTCACGCTGAACATTGCAATGTCAAATCTGTCGTTGTAAGTTTCCATTACCTTACATACATCTTCGTACGCTAATAACTTCGCAAAGAGCCATGGTCTCTGTTCCCTTCCATCAAATCATGCGAGCGACATGCCCGCTCTTTACCATTCTGATATACCGTGTTATTTTCTCCCGAAGATATGCACTGATCACGTATCTGTCCATCGTCCCGGTAATGCTAGGCGTCGGACTGGCTACCTTTGGTGACTACTACTTCACCGCCATTGGATTCACCCTGACACTCATCGGTGTGGTCCTCGCTGCCATAAAGGTAAGTAATACCCGAAGGATTATGCACGTTCTCGCGAAGGATGCTAACAGCTCGAAATAGACCGTTGTTACCAACCGTTTGATGACGGGGCGCCTGCGACTACCCGCTCTGGAGCTGCTCCTCCGCATGGGGCCCCTGGCCGCAGTGCAATCTCTGCTGTACTCGGTGCTCATTGGCGAATTCTCAGAATTTCTTGCTTTTGTGAATGTCGGACACTTTACAAGGGAAAGGATTCTGACAGTCTCGGGCAACGGCCTGCTCGCATTCGGCCTCAATGTCGCGTCTTTCGAGACGAACAAGCTGGCGGGCGCGTTGACCTTGACCATCTGTGCAAATCTCAAGCAATGTCTGACCATCGTATTGGGAGCCTTCTTGTGGGACGTGCCTGTCAGTCCGATGAACGGCGCGGGCATCCTGCTCGCTCTGGCAGGTGGAGCGTGGTACAGTAGTATAGAGCTTAAGTCAAAGGCGAGAGCAAGTGGATGAGCGAATGACACATGGCGTCGCGCTTTCTTAGTGTGACGCGCTACTCTAGCGAGAACAGAGTCCGTGCACATGTGATTCTTCTGTGACCCCAGACGTGCGTCCAACCGATCGCTTGGAGCCTGGATCCGAGTAAGACACTAGCATCCGTCTTTCCCGATATCCTGGTAGTATGCCTCGCTCTATCAACTTCTTTCGGAATCATGCCATTTATGCCAATCATGCAGCTCACCATACGAGATTGCCATGGGTGACGCCACGCTCCCGAGGTCTGCCTGACCACGGGGCTGCACGGTATCAATGCCAAAGGAGAGTTTTGCTGGGCTATGGCTGGCCTAAAATTAGCGCTCTATTACCACTGATCATATCATAATCGCCTTCAGACGGCTGTGGCTCAATACACCTGCGCCATGCTTCGTCCTAGGACTCTCGTCTTCGGAACCCTGGTTTTCGCGACCCTGGTAGTTTTCTGGACTGCACTACATCTCAACTCCCTCGACACCATACGGCAAGCCGCGGTACAAGATCCACTCACCGCGAATATCCAAGAATCGCGTCTTCACCTGCTCATTGTAGCTACGAGTAGTGGCCTCGACTTGTGCCGCCTTCTTCTCTCCGCGTCGGTGCTCTTGTACCCACCTCCTGTTCTCATCGACTGGGCAGGAGCGGGCGCATTCAACGCTGCAGAAACTCACCTTGCGAAAATCGCGGGTCCTCTTCGCTACCTCGAGAGTCTGTCCCCCGCACAAGATACAGACATAGTCTTACTGGTGGATGGCTTCGATGTTACGTTCCAGCTCGGTCCGGATGTCTTGCTAAAGCGTTACTTCGAAGAAACGGCTGCCGCCAATGATCGGCTGGTCAACCGGTACGGCAAAAGCCATGTGCGGAAACACAAGATTTACAACAGCATCCTTTTCGGCCCTGACAAAGTATGCTGGCCAGAAGATATTCTTCGCTTAGCGTGCTGGGTCGTTCCTGACTCACCTCTTCACCCCGACGCTTTTGGCCCTTACACTGATGGATGGGGTGATATGAATCACGCAAGACCGCGCTGGCTGAACTCAGGCACCATCATCGGGCCCGCTGGCGAAATGCGCGAGATGTTTCGTGCAACTCAAGAAAAGATCAAGCAGACGTACAATCCCGAAGACGTGCTGCGCAACTCCGATCAGAAGTACTTTGCAGACGTATGGGGTGATCAAGAGTATGCGCGCATACTATCGCATGGAGATAAGCCCTACGGGATGCCCGAAGGAGTTCAAGAAATTGACCTACCAACGCTCAAGGAAGGCGAAGTGACTGAATATCACATTGGGCTGGACTATCGATCGAGCCTATTCCAAACAGCTGCGGGGTATAGGAACTACATTGCTTGGATGGCGACGAACCGATCCTCGCTTCCTTCATCATCGAAATCCGTGGAGCCGTACAGGATTGATCTACAGGAGGACGTGCTGCAGTCAAGGAAGCCATTTGCTGCCATATCAGATGATCCGGCCTTGAAGGAAACTTCGTGGCGAGATGTGTCTCTGGGTTTCAACACAGTTACTGGCCAGCCTTTCCCAGTGCTCCACTTCACAGGCGACAAGTCATTTCGAGACACTTGGTGGCCCCGCATGTGGTACTCTGGAGAGGCTGAGCGCCTTCAACGCGCGGCATCTCAAGTAAACGACGAGAAGATTGGGTCAGATCCTATCAATGGAGTTCGGTGGACCAAGAACATGCCGTACGACAGTAAAGTAGGCGAGCCAGAGGAGAAGTCGGGGGCTTGGAGTGACCAGGGGGAATCGCTCTCGTGGAAGTCTCTTTGCGAGTCGCATGAACCTGCGTTGTACAGTGGAGAGGCAGAGAAAGTCTCGTTTTGGGACACTATATACCATTGATCGCGAAGCATCAGGCGTTGAATTTACTAAATCTTAATACCAACATGGTGTTTCACACCAAACTGTACGATCACATGTAAAGTCTCTCATCGAACTCGCACCAGGAGTGGAATGCACAAATCTTACTGCCTAATTTCGCTCCTGTTCACATAGCCACGCCGCCCCTGTCGTGGCGGTTTACCGAGCAGATGGTCCAAGCCATCAAAGAGACTAGTGTCATCTCGGCACACCTCTTCCGGATGGTGCCGGCAAGTAGACCCACTAGTGTACGCCCATCCGCCACCTCCCGGAGTTGACGCCGCACGGCTGGGATATCCGACTAGCTCAAGTGTAAGTTTAGATCCTAAGAAGGCGAACTGCCATCGGTGACAGCTCATTACCAGCATGTATAATGCGCTCGGCCGGGTGCAGGTGCACTGCCAACTACGGCGCTGTCGCAACCATCATCTCGCAACGTGAGCTTCACAGTTCCGCCGTGTCAGCACGGTTTTCTGGATGATGCGCGGGTACAAGCAACTCTCCAACGACGCGGTCGCACGCCTACCAGGCTGGAGTCGCCGACGTTGGATACTTTTCGCAGCATCTTTTCTACTCGTCATTCTCTTCATTACTACCGTCAACAGTGACCGCCATCTTGTTCCTACTGCTTTCTCTTCTGGCAGCAAAAACAAGGCGAAACACTCCTCTATCCTCCACGTCCTCATCCCTGCGGACCATAAAGATGTCAATCTATGCAAGACGATGCTCAGCGCTGCAGTGGCTGGGTACCCTACCCCTACGCTGATCAACTGGGGCGCCACATTTGACGATAAATCGCTAGTGGCTGGAGGTTCGCATATTGCCAAGATCAGTGGTGTGCTCGAATACCTGCGTAAACTTGGACCGGAACGCGACGACGACTTGGTATTGCTGGTGGATGGATACGACATCTGGTTTCAACTGCGACCCAGCGCGTTGATCTCGCGCTTCCACGCTATCAACAACGCGGCGAATGCGCGGATACGGAAGACCATGGGCTCGCGAGCCGCGGCTGCAGAGGGAATAAGTCAGGACATCGTCTTCTCCGCACAGAAGCGGTGTTGGCCCTGGAAACCAGAGGATCCCCCTTGTTATGCTGTGCCGCAGTCTTCGCTGCCTGGAGACATCTACGGACCACAGACAGATACCGATATCGGCTGGGACAAGAACCCATACGTCAAGTTCCGTCAACGGTACCTCAACTCCGGAGATGCCATGGGCCGCGTGGGCGCGATGAAAGCGCTCTTCGAACGCGCCATGGAGAAGGCAGACAAAGACCGCAACTTTGGCAGCGACCAGAAGATCTTCAGTGAGATTTTCGGCGACCAGGAATTTCAACGCGAGGTCATGAGACAACGGCACAGGTCTTTCTTCCAAAAGACGGGGGATTGGTTGACGGGGAGAAAGAGCATCCTCAGCCCGCAGTCCGAGCGGCACTTGCGCGAGCACAAGGCTAGCAAGCCAGATGAGTTTGGCATCGGACTGGATTATGCCAGTCTGCTTGGTCATCCGACTGTTTTCGCAGAAGAAGACTCAGCATGGGTCACACATGGCGACCCTAAGTCCATCGCGCAAGCGTCTGCTGAACTCAACATCGCGCCAGTACGCGTCCATGACCTTGCCCAAGACATTACCGAGTCGCAACCACCATTCCGCCCCGCAGTCGTCGCTCCAGATGCGAAGTTTCCCGACGAGAAGTCTTGGAACGATGTTCCTCTCTACACCAACATGTGGACGAGTGTCGTTCCTGGCCTGATCCACCACAATGCGCATCGAGATGGGCTCAAGTCCCTCCGCGTTTCGGTCTGGGATCGCATGTGGTACTTCAATCACACTAGGAAGTTGTACGAGTCGAATGCCATGGGACCGGTCGCGCCCGTTGCTGTAGTACATGATGATGCGGGCGTGGAGCAGGCGTGGTGGAGCCCAATCGCGGAGAAGGGCGGGGCAAAGTCGGACAAGGATGAATGGCTGCCATTCAATGATTTGTGCAAGGACTTTGAGAAAGAGGTGTTTAGAGATGTTTAGATTCTTCAGTGTCTTTCTAGTCATAATTATACTATAATACCAATGACAATTACATAAAAGAAAGCATTTGGTCTATGCGTGTGTCGAGACCATGGCAAGATACCATTGCAATGTATCAGCTCACAGTAGTGACGTCAGATGCACGATCAAATGTATACTGCCATTGTTCTAGGGATTTCAGAGACAGAAAGAGACAACACGATTCAAGCAGACCCACACGGAACCCCAAACTAACACCATCATAGCCGCAACACTCTCGAAGTCGACATCAACGAGACGCACTCTCTATACAAAGCGTGCGACCTCACATGAACCAATCTGTAACACCGTCCCAATATTTAATCTCGTCGTCATCTTTCGTCGGACTCGTATTCTCGTCAACTCCAGTATGTCGCAATTTCATCGCCTCTTGCAAAGTAGGCCATTCCACTGCGCTCGTGCTGGCACCATCACTCGTCCATCGTGCAGCACTGGTAGGTGTGGCGGGTGTCTCCTCCTAGTGAGACTGGAAGTAAGACTCAGAGTAATACTCGTCATCTTCATCGTCGCAGTCGGAGTCGTCAATGGGTTCGACATCAACCGTAGTCTCGGGTGGTGTAGGTACTTCCTCCCAGGAATCCGCCATGGACTTCGTAGTTACCGGATCGATGATATCGTACTCGGAAAGAAGACTAACAGTGTCGAAGTCATCGGTGTCTGATTTGGAGACGCTTTCTTTATGTTCAGCTTCAAGGAGTGCAAGCACTTTGGAGATTGTGGCCCTGTGATTGTCTTGCGTGGATGGTTTGGAGTTCACGTGGCTGATGTCGAGGTTTGGTGAGCGCTGTGGGATGCTGTCCTCATCATTCCGCGTATTGGGCGATGTGAAAATATCTGAGAAGAACGCGCTAGATGCTGCAGGCTTGTCCGACAGCGCAGTATACCATTGATAAGCGTTCCACGGATGTTCTGCCTCCGACGTTTTGAACGGGTCCCCAAAGGGTGGACGAGAAGAGCCTTCGGGAGCAGGAGAAGTGGATGAGCTTGTTCCAAACGATGGGGTTCCGAGTACGGGCTGCTGGGCTGTGGAAGTGCTCTCGCGCGCGATGAGTTTGCCGTCGGCGAAGAACTTGGACTTTCGACCGGGTTGCTGAGGAATATAGCAACGCGCGTAGGGCTTTGCTGGAACAGTCACTTCTTGCGGTGACAGCCTGATACGCGCATGACCCGAGCTCATCAGCGTTTCCGACTGACGAACCTTTGCTGGAGGTGGTATTGAACGGCGTTGCCAACAGCCGTGAAAACGCGGGTTGACGTTCATCTTTTCAGCGTCCAAAAATGGAGGTTCCCGCCCAAGGCCATGTGCAATGGATGGAGTTCCAGTTTTTCCATTCGCTGTCTCGGGTTCGGTGGGTTGAGATGCACCAGAAGGGGATACAAAGGTTGGCTCAATCATGTTGGAGGACATGTTGACAAGACTGAGAGGACAGGGCGTACAAGGGGTATTCGCCACGGTTGGGAGAAGAGGTGGTCCCTTTTGCTGGATATCTGACTCGTCAGTGGATGTGGTAGGCTTGGTCTGTAGACTCCTCGAAGTGAGTGCACGATGTGCTGCTTTTGTTGCGGCGTGTTGTGCGTGGGACGAGGATGTAGGAGGAGGGACTGAAGACTCTGAGGGTTGCGGAACTTTTTCAGGAGCCTTTGATTCTAGAAATTTAGACTTGGATGGAAACCGTCCTGAAAGATCGGGACAGGCAAGAAAAGCGGAGATTGGGAAGAACTGAGAATTCTGCCGCTTAGTCGCTGCGCCATTAGAGGACATTTGAGACCGCAGTGCTTTGATCTGGGAGGACTGGGACTGGCTTGTTGCAGTGGCTGTTGAATCTGGAAGAAATTGTGGGGCCCAAGAAGGTCTGTCGATATCGAAACACGGAGGATTGATAGGTGCGGCCTTTCGACTATGGCTAGAAGTGTCGTCCATCCCTGGTTTAATCGGCTCATCCTCGTTAAGACGCAACGCAGCCATGGTCTTGCACAACGCGCTAATGTTTGCATTTTCGCATCGTTCAGTATCCTTGGTAGATGAGTCTTTGCTTCTATGGCGCTTTCCTCCCCGTTTGCCTCGCCGCCTCGTGCTTCCGGTAGTGGTGGGAACAAAATCGAAATTCCACTTTGGTTCGGTGGGCGAGTGTTGGAGCTCTGCTAGGATGCTGAATTTGTTCGCTATAAATGTTAGAAGCCGTCAAAGCGCATGCCATCTAGTGCCAACGTACGCGTAGGAGTGAAATCATGCTCATGAGGACAGGTAGTCAAGCAGTAATTAGCGGAAATGGCTCTGGTGTCGCGTACTCGACAATCTGAGCAGCGACCGTCCTTCAACGGGCGCGCAGGCTTGGAGAATCGCGTCGAGGTTCTGTCATTGGGGATCGGTTGTGCCTGTCCTAGGATCATGCTAGAGGTGTAACGAAAGGCAATGTTGGACTAGGAAATATAGGGCAAACGGGAGAAGGTGACGGAGCTGTAGGTGCAGTATTTCGGTTTATCGTGCGATAGCAAGGAAGAAGATTGAGGTGTATTCGGAAGGACAGCCATGGCGATAAGGGTGCCATGTGGCTAAGAGGGGCGTTACTGCCCTGCAAAGGAGCGCTGTTCGTCCTGCCTTGAGGTAGTGCCTTCTCCATCAGCGGTCAGTCAGTGGCTCTTTCCAGTTCGAGCGTTCTGTTTGATGTCTGGAGCAGGAAGGTACACCCGGTGGAGTTCAGAGTCGATATGAATATCATAATGCTCTGCATGATTAGTCGCTTCGACTGGAGCTGTCGCAGGAATGCACAGGTAGCCACCTAGATGAAGTGAGAGCCAACTGATGAACAGTATTCCCTTGCATTACTAGTCAGCCGATACGCTGTATCATACAGAATATATCATTCTTGTGGAAGCTTGCTTTGCATCGCAGCGTCGCCGCCTGCAGACTCTCCTTGACTGTCACTGACCCATCAGCACGACATGTACTGGCGTCATTTCCGACAACCAGTAGATTAGTCTCTTTAAGCAGCACGACGACAACGCGTATGTAGAGAAAAGGGAACAAAGAAAGTGGTGGTGTTTCAGTGTGGGCGGTGGAGGATGACAAATGGAGCTTAAGCTATGGCCATGAGGTCAGAGGTGTGCAGCTAAAATTGGTGGGGAAGCCATGTCTCCATCTCTGCCTGGACTTCTCTGCTGTCGACTAACCCCACGTAGCAAATACCCTCGCCGCACACTTCTCCCGTCCCAGGGCGCTCCAGGATAATTGGCAACAAGCAGCAGGCCGCAATTACCTGGAGCCGCTTCCGAATCCCCAGTCGCACTTTCTTCCGCACGCCCCAGCAAACATGGCCGACACCGCACGCGCAGCCACGGCGCAGAAGCAGCACCGGCGCCCAGGCTCGCGCATCGTGCCTGCCATCCCCTACCGTCTGTCCAAGTCTCAGCCATCAGCCAGACCCATCACACCAGACGGCTCCACCAAGGACAGTGTCGCCCAACCAGCTAAGCCGCAGCCGGAGCCGCAATCCGCGCACGAGAGGCAGGAACAAGAGCAAACTGAAAATCAGCAGGCCGAGGCGGTGCAGACTCCTCTTACGCCAGAGTCAAACACTTCGGGCGCAGAAAAGAGAGAGCTCGATGCAACCGCCGCGCCTGGCCCGTTGCAGAATGGCCACTCGGCACCGGCAGACACTCATGGTGAGCATTCACTGCCGGCTCCTTCTTTGACGCAGCACGTACTAAACTCCCCAGATGCAGACAACCACGTCAACGGCCATGCCGACGAGAAGCCTCCCGCGCCCGTGGAGCCCAGCGCCGAGCCCAAGCCTGCCACGAACGGAGTGCACCGCAAACTGACCATACCCGCCCACCTGCCTCCACCCTTCTATCCCTCGAACAAGACGGACACGCAGACACCGCCCACAGAAGGCAGCGACAGCGCTCACACTTCCTCGCACCGCCACCAGCTCAGTGCTGGTGCTCTGGTCTTCCAGAGCGCGAATGAGTCACCGGCACCTCCTGTGGCTCCTCAAGAGCCAGAGCTGCACCAGCACGAACAGCACGCGCTGCCACGTCCTCCGCCTGGGTTCGGTCCCCAGCAGTTTGCGCCCTTCTTCCCCGGCCACGCCCAGCATCCCTCAGAGGCAGGAGCGCCCTGGCATGTGCCGCCACAAGCAGTCGCACCGCCTGAAGCTGCCTACGCAAACGGCTCCGAGTTTCGACCCTCGCAGTTTCCCAGCGGTCCTGTCCTCTATCCGGGTCCTCCCAACGGTCACTTCTCGCCGGAACAGGCAGCTTTTGTCGCAAACGGTACCCGCACCTCGCACTCGCAGTCACCAAGCAAGGCACAATTTGGCGACACGGTACCCACATCAGACCACGGGGACGAGCATCATGCCATGCCCTACCAGAATGGCACTGCCCCTCCTACCGAACGCCTCGAGGAGTCGCCGTTTGAACTTGCCAGCTATTTGTCAATCCAATTCGCCAACCCCGAATTCGCCGACTTCATCCTCCAAGTTCGGTCACCTGAGTCCATTCTGATGTCAGTACCAGTTCACGGCATCGTAGTCGTGCGGAGCCCTGTCATAGCCGAAGCAATTCGTCGCAGCCCGGCCCCCAGCCACCGCAGCAGAGACGCGCGCCGACTGGTCGATGTCCTTGCGCTCGACCCTTTCACTACCGGCGAATCCCTAGAGGAAGCTGTCAGGGTTCTGTATGGCGCCCCGCTCCTTTCTGCCCAGACCTTCCTGTTCGGCCTTGCACCTTACATGTACGAGAACGACCAAGCGTCCCCTTCCAACGACGCCCGCATGCGCATGCGACAAGTTCTGAGCTACATTGCGGCAGCAAGGACTCTCCAGATGCCTAGCATGCAGGCGCGCGGTATTGAGATCGCACGGATGCTTCTCCGATGGGATACTGTCGAGCAGGTACTGCAATATACACTGCAGGCCAGCTCTGGGCCACGATCAAGAGGTGAAGGTCCCGATGCA